GCACACCTTCCACAAGACCCCATTGCTCTTTGTGCAGTCAAGGGAAGAACGATCTAGTGACCCACCCCTGTACACCTTTAGACTTTCAGTGTGGCCCCCTTGTGACTTTCCCCCCACCAGTTCAGATGAGGTGCCAAGCACGGCCCCCCAGTCAGAAGTCGACAACCAGCATTCCTCAGGGGCTTCGAATCTTTTCTCGCGTTGCTAGTCTGTTGCACTCCCTCTTGGTTTGTCACCCTGTGGGTGGGGCGGACCAGCTGCTCTTCCCAAACTATCTTCAGTACTGCCCTTTGTAGCAGTTATCAAGGGAGGGGAATTGAATCTATTTTTATATTTCGGGAGGGGGGGAGACTACTGCCCTCTAGTCATTTCCAACTAATAACAACCCAAAGTTCAGTGAAACTTTAGTGAAGCAGACAGCTTCAGCTTTCTCCCTCAGAGCAGCTGGTGGTTTTGAACCACTGACCTTGCAGTTAACAGTGCAACACTTGCTTACCTGACAGCAAGCCTTATAAAAAGGGAGGGAGGCAGTGAAATATATGATAAGACACCTGGAGGTCTCCCAGGAAGCAGAAGGGGCATGAACCTCCTCCAGAGCCAAGAGAAAAACGCCTTCCCCTAGAACCAGCTCTTTGAACTTGGACCTCTCGCCTCCTACCCCATGAGCAAATGAATGTCTCTCTGTTCCAGTGGTATTAGATGACGAAGCCCATTGCTCTGTACAGATATTCTCTGCTTAGTAATTAGCCTGTCAGCTACTGAGCGATGGTTTAACATCTCCCCTTCTATTGTAGATATTTATATTTCTCCTTTAAATAGTTACATTTTGCCTCAGATATTGAAGTGATGTTTGTCCATACAGATTTAGAATTGGAATATCTTCCTAGGGGAAAGTCTCTTTTATTACTACAAAACATCCTTTATCCATTATGAAGCATCTTGCCTAAATGTTCATTGCCTAAGACTTTGTTTTGTGTGATCTTCCTGAATATAGCAGGAGACGGTTAAAGGGAAAGGGATCACTACAGTCAGACCTTGTGCTGTGCAGAGGACAAAGACTGGGCGGGCCGATAGCACAGAGTCAGGGAGCTAGTGATGGCTGTGGCCTTGGTGAGCCAGGACACTAAGCAGAGGAACCCTTGTCAGGTGTGAAATAAAGCCTTCAAGGGGAGTGGCCAAGAAGCTAACAGATGATAGGAATGAGGAGCAGAGGCATGACAATGGACTGAGCGTCTGGAAAGTACAGAAAACACAAGCAGCCTCTACTTGAAAGGGCTTCACGGAACGGGAAATTTTAATAAGAGTGAAAAAGTAAAGAGAGATGGTGGGCTGGAAAGGGAACCTATTTCAGCAAGGAACAAAGGCAATAGTTGGGCTTAGTGTGCAGTTTAACTTGAGGTGATCCTAGTACAGTGGATGGTTGAATGAGTTAACCCAGGAAAAGGATCTAGGAGAAGAGAAGGTCAAAGTGAAGATCTGCGACATGCAAATACTTAGAAGC